ACGTCGAGCACAGCCATGCCAGACACTTCGATCCTGGGCTGCATACCTCCAATTAGTACTCATCACCTATTCTTTGTATTTGGGCCATGTGTTAGAGGGAAAACTCCGGTAGTTTACTATCTCGATGGTACCATGGATTCCGGCCCATTACTTTTTTCGCCAGATGAACGAACAAAAAAAATAAGAACTTGAACACAGAATCTATGCCTATCAACAGTCAATAAATGTGTTGTAGAAAATTTAAAGATACAAACTGAGAATATCCCTGGCAAGGAGATTAGAAGAGAATGGGGGCCCGAAACAAGCGGGTTGAAGCTGAACGGGGAAGTTAAACAGAGCAGTAAAGAAGGCATTATTACCGGTGGGTCCATCAGGATTGCCATATTTTTCCCAATTCTCTCGACTCTCGTCATCGGTGAGTGCCTGATAAGCCTTGGCGATACGATCAAATTGTACAGGATCGCCTCCTTTATCAGGATGCATTGTTTTACTCAGCTCACGGTAACGTTTTTTTACTATAGATACAGCAGCTCCCTGAAAAACTCCGAAAATTTCAATCCGATTTACATTAACTTTAATTCTCTAGGAAATGAACAAATATTATACATTCAAGGCCTGTTAACTCTCCACATCGGTAACAATTATTTCTGTAATTCATTTGTGGGACCTACAGCATTTAGATTTATATTTAAAATGTTTTTTTTTTTTGAAAAAATTTATTTCAAAATTTGTTAAAGAATCACGAAAATCGAGAAAAGCCCAAAAAGCTTCCAGAAGACATTTAACCCCCCCGTGCCTCTCTTTGCAACAACAGTGATCCTCTAGCCAACTTGCTCGAAATTTACTCTTTCCACAATTTTCCAAGTTTTTGCCTATAGCTTTGTCAAAACAGCCCCGATTGCCACAATTTTAAATTGGTCTGGTCAATTGATGGTACTTGTAGAGATCATCCATAATCAGTATTCGTTACCAATCTGTCACAGATATCAGTGATTTGGCTATGTCTTCGATTAAAAAGACAACAGATTTTTGGATAATATTTGTAAATTCCAGAATATCGCGAATAAGTTAGAAAAACTTAATTTAACGATTCTTTGGAATTATTTGGATGCAACAGGCTCAAAAAAGACAGAAATGGAGAAATTGCTAGCTAAAAGCATGAAAAAAAAGGAAAGAAATCAAATTTCGAGCTAACCTGATCAATGCCGAGTATAGCATATGGGTCGTATTCGGAATGTTCCACTTCGATCTGTGTTACTTTACGTACAATAATAAAAAATACAATCCATGCTACGAGTAAAGTTAAAAATTTGATAATTTTTTTCGTCCTACGCCATGGCCGTTTCGCTTCTGCCTGTATGCGCTTGTTTGTGCATCCCTCACAGCAGCACTGCTCCTTCCTCACTGTTTCATCTGAAAATTTGCGCAAATCTCAAAGAACCGATGCGTCAGCAGCGTCTGCTATTTTTGGCACAGTTCTTTATCTATGGGAATCAAACTTGCTTTCCTTTGTTCTATATCTCATTATCTGTCTCTTTTACTACGTTTCTCTTCATCACCCATTTCCTCTCCATCTCCCTCTCTATCTCACACCCTGCCTCTGTCTGGTTTCAACAACTGAGTCATATGCACACTTATAGACCCCGGTAGGAGGCTGTACTGACGATTCCCACTTCTCGCCGCATGCGTACCTCCGTATTCGTTTACAACTAAGGAATGAAACACAGACTGCACCACGAGCTGCTTGCAGTTATGTGCAGTGCCTTCTTGGTCTAATGTCTCGGTCTCCCTGCAGCGTATACCCTCTCAATGCACCACACTTACAGCATATAGTAGGGCGGTGACAAAGTGATACTTGAGTAATTAATAATTACTATGGTTTATTAGTTAAAGAAGCGAAAAAATGAAAGAAAGAGCTGATAGAGAATATTAAAAAAGTGGAAGGAAATACAATCGAATGTGGAGAGGAATGTTTCGATTCACTAAGCCGCTACATTCATACACAATTGCTCTTCATTTACTTGAGATAATGTTTCAAAATTCACTAGAGTTACTAATTAAGCTCTCGCTACATGTTGCCTCACAAGCAATATCACATTAACAACTCGACTGCCACTGTGGATACTCTCACACAAAGCTGAGTCTGTTATTACTCTTGTGCAAAAATCCAGGTTAACATTGTAATTATATCCGTGCAAATCCAGCCGTAGCTGAACTTTCAATATTCACAAAAAAAGTATGCCTGAAAAACTTACCAGCTTTACTGGAAGGCCAAAAGAAGAATGTTGCTGGAATGAGAATTAAGGCATAAAATGATACGAGCACATAGTAAAATGTATTACCCACTTCATCATATTCAAACTGTGCGCGGCCCATTACCACCACCGCTAAAAAACAGAAATAGCATTAACAATAATTTGTTATTTATAAATATTTCAGGTGCACATAAACGAATGGATGCGGGAAATATAAGTGCACAGAAGACAGAGGAAAAGTTGCCAGCGCTATACAGACTGGTGTCATATAATACTGCGGATTAATTGCTCTTCCCAAGTAATATCTCAGAGTAAGCTGTTACTATTCTTTTCTGATTATACACATATGTGTATACATGCATATATATATATATATATATATATATATATACATACTTGAGCAGCTGTACGTCATCGATATTCGTTGTCACGAATTATTTATTTCCTGGATTATTTACCATTATTATGTACATGTATGTATCCAAAAAACAATGATAATTTGTCGCGAAAAAAAAATAATAAGTAAAATACCATTTACAAGGAAAACGGCATATATTAGCGTAACGAAAAGCAATCTTTGCTATCAGTTTCAAATAAAAAGTCAGAACTCCTCCGCATTCATGCCCCATAAGAGGTGCAGAGTATTTCAATAAAGCTTCGTAAAAAAAAAAAAAGAAATGCTCAACGAGTCAAATTCCTCAGCTGCTCAGAGAAACACAAGTTTGAATCACTCTGGGATTCACACTTCGGCGATCAAAAGACACCAACAAAAAGTTCTTTTTTTGTCGCTCATTTCCTGGGCAAAAACGTCAGGAGTCATGGGATTTAATATCATGGTCTGGAAAGTGCTGAAAAAAAAAAAAAA